GGAGGAGGAGGAGGAGGAGGAGGAGGAGACGAAGAAGTCAACTCTGTGCGCTTAACAATCTATCACCAGACCTGATGCCATTCAGAAACAATCAAAACTTCCAGGAAAGCAAACAAAATAATATGTACCTGTCTGAATAGCAATAACGCAAGAACCATATCTTATGTACATGTTTATTTAACATTAACACCAAATCTATTATATGTACATGTTTCCAATCATAGTCCTTGACATTTATTGAAAAAAAAATTGTGATTGATGAAAAATGTTAATAACAAGCTGCCAACACCTACATAATAAAATGTGAGGTGTGCTGACAAAATGGGTTAATTCTCGGAGTTAACCCCTTTGGACGCAGAGAGATACATGGAATTTATAGGTTGGGTTTGTACTGTTTATATGAAATGATAAAAGACATGTTCAACTTGAAGAAAAAATGGCGTCCCATAAAAATCTACAGATTTAATGGGTCTACTTTCGGCTGACGTCCCCAATCATGGGTTGCGAAAAGTAACTGTTTTGTCAGCACGCCTCACAAATGAAAAATGTAATGAAAGTTTAACGCCTCTGTCAATAGTGTAAGTTTATAGGAGAGTCAGGATCGTTTACAACAATTACACTGACGATGACTATCTCACAAACATATTTGTCTTCAGACGTAGATTTGCAAACATTAATCAATGGCTCTAGAGCAGTGAATGCTTCCTATTATAATAGAAACAAGTCTGTACCTTCCTGGTTTCATATTTACAAATGGAAGATGGGGATCGGAGATAATGAAAAGGATGTCTTAAGTTGTGTGTTTGTGTTGTTGTTGTGTGTGTGTGGTAGCCTATCCTTTCGACATGTTTGGAGCCCCGAATTGCATGCTCTTCGCCAGGGCCACCGCCTCCCTGGTTGTTGTTGTTGTTGTTGTTGTTGTTGTTGTTCTTGTTGTTGTTTTTATTGTTGGTTTTTGTTGTGGTTGTTTTATTGTGTTTTGTTTTGTTTTTTTAGCTTGTTCAATTTCATAGTTTGGGTTTTCTTTGCGCATGCGTGTGAGGTTTTAGATTATTATAATGTTGAACAAAGCGTATCCCTTGCGTGTGTTTGTGCAAGGAAAGTCATGTCTTTAAAACGTGAGGACTGGTGAGATGTGTACACTGTGAGAAGCACCACTGACCACTGCATGGACCTTGAACTCAATGAGGACGCGCAGTCTGGTTATTCGACAACGCTTGTAGTTACACATTCTGGTTATTCGACAACGATTGAGGATGCACCTTCTGGTTATTCGACAACGCTTGAAGAAACCACTGTTTTCGGGCACGAAAAGAAAAAGAAAGTACAACTTCGTTATTCACACAAATATTTCGGTTCTAATTTCTCTGAAACAAAGATAGGGTTGTTTTATTTATTGTTTTTTCTGTTCTCATATGAAGTACATTCGAACCTCTTCAAGACAACCATTCTTTTCCAAGAAAAATCTTGTCGTCCTAGACAAGTGGTCCTTTTGAACAGTTTTATTATAATAAAATAATGTAAACAAATTCCGTCTTTTTAGTTCGTGTATGACGGCTCAAACTGTGGCACCACGTTGCCTTTGGTCTGACGTTAATCAGATATATAATTATCTCTACCTTAGAATTACACAGTTGTGTCTGAGATTTTGGGACGTTTTGATATACTAAGACCATGAGAACATAAACCAAATGTTCTATCTGCTCTATCAAAATGGTAACATTATTCGAAATCGTTATCAAGATAGTCAAAGAATTGCATTCGAACAAGCTTGACATGTTATAAAACTCAAAATTAGTAACCTCAAATTTCTCAAAACTTGGTAATGAGCAGATCGATCTTCGTCATTCTAGGGTACTGATACACCCACTGCATCCCTAAAGACCAAATTCCCGTTGACCGGTCAACAATCAGGTCTGTCCCTCAAGCCTCCTGGTTCTCCGGGCGATGACCGAAGACGAACTCGCCCAAATCCTCAGGTTCCTCCATCTCAGGAGGTTCGTAGCCTCGGATATAACGACATTTCCTCACCGCCTCCCACACCCGCTCCTGCTCCTTCACTGCCGGGTCCACCTCCCTTTGACTCTCTTTATTCCTGTTCTTGCTAGACTTCGCTCTCTCCGCCTGTAATCTGAGGACTCGCGCGAATCTGAGGACGTCCCCTTCCGATTTTCTCCTTGATCTCAGTTGAGCGAAACTCGCTTTGTCCTTGCTGTTGTCATCGCTGTTTCCAGCGCTTGCGTCCTTGGAGTTTTTCCGTGGAGAACCCCCGGAAGTGCCGCCATTTTGTTTCCCTTTAGTTGTCGTTAGTTTCGGAACTGTGGTCCCCGCTTTTGATTCTTCTTCTTCGCTTTTTTTCTCCGGAACTGACGCCAGATTAACAGACAGTTTCTTGGAGGCTGATGAAACGACAGCTTTCCGAGACGCTGCGGTAGCTGTGGTCTTTTTCAAATTTGACGCAGCGACAGCGTTGTCGTTATTTTCAGCGTCGTCAGCCGCTCCTTCCTCGTCTTCTTCAGCCACAATGTCAGACGGAAGAGAGGTTTTGATGGATTTCTTCAGCGCCTCGCTTTCTGGGGTGCTATGTTGTCTCGAGGGTGAAGGTCCTCTCCCACTTTCTTCATCATCAGAGCCCGAGTTGAAAGCTTTGTCCTGCATGACCCTGAGAAAATGGCTGCCAATGCCCGGTTCTGAGGCGCGGCGGTGGTTTCTTTTGTGGCTTTCAAACATGGATTCCTCCTTCGGAGGACTGCCTCCTATGGAGAGCGGGTCATCATCGTCTTCGTCCGTGTGAACGAACGTACAGGTCATATGATGATGTTCGGGGGGCACTTCCACAGTGGTGGACGAGACAGAAGAGTTGAGAGAATTCCTCTTCTTGGCTGAGCCATTCTTAATGGGCTGACTCCCGCTCCCGGTATGATGATGGAGGGCATGCGTGCCAGGGGGCGCCACTGATGGGGGCATCATTTCGTCACTTCCTCTCCTGCCGTTCCCGGCGCTGTTTCTCCTAGCAGCACCAGAAGTGACGTTTCCTCCCACGTGAGTCACCCCTGGCCGCCCCACGCCACCTAGTGGCTGGCTGTCTCGCCTGCTCTGTGTAGACACAGACATAGCTGTCGTAGAGTTCACTGTATTGCCGTCCTTCAAATCGTCTTTGTTTTTCGTGGAACTACTTCCCTTGGGGTCTACTTTCGCTCTTGCCGAACTACTTCCCTTAGAATTGTCTTTGTTATTGGTTGAACTTCGCGGAGTACTTCCCTTAGAATTGTCTTTGTTATTCGTGGCACTTCGCGGAGTCCTTCCTTTGGACAAAATGGCGTCCAGTTGAAGTCTGCTGTGGGCCTCGGGCAGGATGCTGGCGTCTGACCCACGCCGTGGTCTCTCGAGGAACGCTGAAGGGGACCTGAGGTTGGCGGGAATACTTCCTCGTCGTCTGGTGAAGCGCGGGGATATCGGGGGAGAGATCGAGTCAGTTAATGACGTCACTGGCAGAGAGACTCGTCTCTGTTGGTGCCGGTTCGGTATCTCTGTGGATGGTAAGACAAGAGAGTGGTATCATCTCCAGGGGATTGTTTTTTTTTGTGTTGTTGTT